GAGATTTAAAAATCTATTTATTTATTTATTTATTTATTTAGTGTGTGGCCAGCTCAGCCCACCAGGGGGCGGGGATGGCTGGCATGTGGTGCTGGGGGATTGAACTGCGGTCCCTGATGCTTTGCTTAGCTTAGCTTGTTCTAAGTAGGTGCTTTAGACCACTGAGCCATCTCACCAGCCCCCAAGATTTAAAAATCTTATATATCATCTATACTATAATGTATTGTTTTCAATTGAAGCAATTTTATTGAAAATAGAGAAGATAGGATACCTTATAATTATCACAAAGTGATCTTTTCGAAGCAGCCTCTATTAAAACTGCAATTGTATTCTAGGATCTGGTTCAAAATAGGCTCTAAATTACAGTTTTATCCATTTTGTCCAAGATTTTTTTAGGCTATTTTTAATTTTAAAGTCAAGTAAAATTGGAGCAATGATATTTATTCCATATAATAATGATGTTAATCAAAGTTGTAGCATGAATATGTGATTCCTGGCTGGCAGCCATGCCACGAGGTGAAACTCATTTTCCACTTCCTTACTGGGACAGGACGAGGAGTCCTGCTGTCCCAGAGAGCTTCTCTGACAAGTGGAACTTGGGGTTCCAACAGCTCTGTCCCTTGACTTTAAACGTTCCTATGTTTTAAGTGTAAAAACTGTGATAAAAAGTAGAACCTTAGGCTTCACTGGTAACTTACAGCTGGGAAAAGGGACTTCTGTTCCCAGATGAGGAAGTTTGAAGACCAACTTCAACTTCTGTCTAGTTCCTTGACAAGAGCCCACACCTTTGATCATCATAATTACTGATTAATTATAATTGCTGTCTTGCTTTTCTGTTCTATACTGTCAGCAATCTTCCCTTTTACACTTTAATTTGCAGTAATTCTATTATAGTGTTTAAAATAAAATCAAGTGCTACAGTGAAAAGAAAAATTGTTTTGCTCCACTCCACAAAACCCAAGGAACTCTAAAACAAAACATGCATGTGGAATGATTCAACAGCGTGAAAAACAGCATATGGCCTGACTTGGAGTGGGTGAAGAAACAGTTTGCTTCCTCAGACCCTCTCCCACTCTCTCTTCTCTCCCCTCCCTCCTTCTGGTCTCCTTTTAAAAAATTTATGTATTTTATACAGTCACAGCTCAGACTCATGGTGATCCTCCTGTTTTCAGCTTCCCCAGCACTGGGATTATAGGCATGTGCCACCACGCTGCCCCTTGGTGGCCGGCTTAGCATGTCCCAGGAGCAGGGCCCATGTGGCATGAGGAACCAGAACTGAACCCTGGTCCCTATGCTTGCCTAAGCAGGAGCTTAGTCCACTGAGCTATCTCACCAGCTCTTCTTGGGTCTCCTTTTAATGCACTTATATCACTGTTGTTTCCATACCACCTACCTTAAAATTAACCATTAAGGCACAGACTCCTGCTACAAAAGCACTCAGATAGGAGGCATCTTCTGTAAGAGAGGGAACCTCAGCCATAATCCAAGCAGCCTGAGCTTGTGTACCATTAGGAGAGGTCAGGTCTGTTATCAGAACCAACCATGTCTACCCAAGAAATGTAGGTCAGGAATCCACAGAAGACTGAGCCATGACTACCAGCAGAGCCTGCACCCCAGTTGCTCTCTATTTTACCTTGTCTTTTTCTGGAAGATTCCATGATGGGAACTTCACATGTTCTACTTCAGCTAAGCCAGGCTGCAGAGCGACACGGCCCGAGAGCCCTGTGTGCAACAAAAAGGGCTGCTCACAGGTGCCTTGCCAGTCCTTGGTTGGGCTGCCTGAGAATAACATTGGCTCAGCCAGAGGTGCAGGAGCTCATGGCCTAGGCTGTCACTTAGCCACTCTCCCACAGCAGTAGCAAGGCCCTTCCTCAAGCGAGAGGATCTGAGTGGCGCATTTCCGCCTTCACCACCCTGGGTAAGGTAGCTTTCGGGTTGAATGTCTTGCAACCTCAAAGAAGTTCAGTCTGTCAGGAAGAAGATACGGGTACATCACTGTGGATCTAAATGACTATTATTAAGATCTCTGCTAGAAGAGAGCAGTCTTGCCAGACAGAGAAGCACTGTGTGCTGAGCAAGCCTGCCTTGCGGGTCTCATGGTGAAAAGGTGTGACAAGCCGTACTATCATCTTCATTAGAGAGCAGCTGCCAATCCTTCTCCTGCATCAAGTTGCCTCCCTGTTGGGTAATTAAAAAAGAAATTTGTTTTAGCCAGGAGTGGTGGTGTACACCTGTAATCCCAGCACTCTAGGAGGCTGAGGTAGAAGGATCACATGTTTGAGCACAGCTTGGACAACTTAGTGATAGATATATTAAAGGCCTGAGGATATAGTTCAGTGTGAAGGCCCTGGGTTCAATTCCCAGTACTGTAGGAAAAAAGAAGGAGGAGGAGAAGGGAGAGGGGAGGGAGAGGAAAAGGAGAGGGAAGAAGAAAGCAAGCAAAGACAGGGGCTTGCTTCCAAGTGATAAATGGTGGACATAGTAGTGGTATAAATGTGTCCATGATGGGTAGAGTGTGGCTTTTTAATTTTTTTCAATGTTTTACTTTTTTAGAAATCACTGGCATAATTGAGGCTTTCTTTCCAGAGTTACAAACATTTGGCTTGTTGGTATTCAGTCAGCGAACAGAGACCGGTTTCCCAGTTTCCTCTCCAGAGGCAGATCACAGCCTCCTTCCAGAAGGGACTCAGGGAATACAAACAGATGGAGTGGAGGCACAGGAGCTGTGGGTTCATTCACTCAGGGGCTGGGGTTCCTGATTTGCTGAAGTGGATTCCTCTGAGTGTGACTGGAGCAGTGGAGAAAAAGGCCCTGCGTGTAGCAAGATACACACGCAGCCTCCCCAAGTAGGGAGGCAGGCAGAGCAGACCCAGGCCCTGGCACAGCTCTCCACAGCCAGCTGGCTCCTAAGTCTGGAAGGCAGCAGCGTGCAGCCGAGGCCTCGAGTGTGGAAATGTTAAGTGTGCATGTCAGCTAGGGTAGAAAAGGGTGAACGATTTGTTCCCTTAATATGACTCCTTAAAGTCTCTCCAAAGTTTTTTTTTAAGTTATTGTACCTTTATTTTCTTAATTTACAAATTTTAATTTGTCCTTCAAAAGTTACAAATGATGATGCTTTCCTTAGTTATATCTTTCATAACTAAAAATGCGGAAGAATTTAGCCCTAGATTAAAATCCAAACTATATACAGGCACACACCCCCCCGCAAAGTTAACTAAAATAATTTTCCGCTGTGACATTATTGCTATAAAACCTCCAGGCTTTTTCTTCCAGATGCTTTCTTTTGATGGCCATAAGTAGCCAACAATTTTATATTTACACGACAGTTAATGCCTCTCTTTCACTCGTAGACTCTCCGAGGTCCCTGCAGCGCTGCACCACCTCTGTCATGGCACTTTGGAGACGGTTTACGGCATCTGCTGCTGCTTCCCAAGGCGCTGGCTGAGAGGCCATGAAGTTGATTCCTGCTTCCACGCATCACTGCACCAGCACTCGTCCTATACACACACACTGCCATGTTTCTGGTACTACTAAGGTGCTTTCTAATAGCCCACTCACGAGTGGATGCTGACGCCACAGCCCGCCATTCCAGGGCTCACGAGGGCTTCCGCATGATGCTGACCTGTGCCAGAATACTCGGGACGGCCACGCGGTCCCCCAGCCTCGCTCTTTCCTGGCTACACTGAAAAGCTCCAGATTCCAGGGGTTTCAGTTGGTGAACTCGGGAGAATAGCTTCATTTTTCCATAGGTTCTGTTTTCGGCTTCACCACTGGCATGGAGCTGGTTGAAAGAGCTGCAAACCTACACTTGTGCAGGCCCTGGGAGTACACTGAGTAGAATGAGATGAATAGCCCAAGTTCCTGGAAATCTGTGAACTGCAGAACCATGACAAAAACGCCATCGTTGAGAGGATGATAACGAAGGCGCGGAAAGCCTGCCTTCTCTTTGCGACTGTAGCCTAAACAGTTAACCGGCCGCAGCCAAATTGGATCAGAAGAGAGCTCACCAAAGTTTTTCATATACCAGTAATTAAGACCTCTGTATTAGCAACTTTTTTCACTAAGAAAAAATACCAGTTTTAAATTGGTAATGAGGCATTAAAGCCTTTTCAGTGATGTTTTTGAGACACTGTCTCACTGCATAGTTCATATTGTTCTTGTACTCACTATGCAGCTCAGGCTGACCTTGGGGCTCACAGTGATTTTCCTGCCTCAGCTTCCCTAGTGCTGGGATTACAGGTGTACACCCACACCTCTGGTCCCACAGTCAGGAAATGAGCAAGCTGGGGCCAGTGTGTAGCCCAGTGATGGATCACAGGGCTGGTGTGTGCAGGCCCCAGGTTTGACTGCCAGCACTGGGAAGAACATGTCCTAGCACTGCAAGCTACAAGAGACATGACTTAAGATCTGATACCACATTTTTCCTTGAAGAAGTTAGGTCTGATGAAGTAATACGAGTAGCCTTTCATTGTGTACTGAGTGACAGACGAAATTCAGACGTGCTGACTTACGACCAGTAGCTGAATTCATCTTGTGCCTTCTGTAACTGGAAAGCATTAGGAAGACTGCCTGAGAGCATTTCTTAATTAGGTTCCTTTGTAGTGACTGGGGTCGCACGTAGGTAAGACTGCGCTGAGTCACACTCCCACCCATTGCACTGTGCTTCCTGCATATGCAAGTAGAGGCGGTGACTTTTAAATCCAGCCCAGTTTCCTCCTGTGTCCTGTCCCTCTCAAAGTGAACCTAAATGCTAAAAAAACTTCCAGTGAAGGCTGCATTTCAGCTTTCTATTCCCAAAGCAGAGTTCAATCAAGACTTCTCATCTCAGAAGTGGGGCAGGTCCTAACTTGGATCCATGTTC